CGGGGGTGGCGGTTACCCCTGGCGTGCGGAGTCCTGCCTCACCCCGTCGCGGCGCGTTCCCCGCTGCGTGCGGTGAACGCGGTCGTGCGGGGGCTGCGGGCTCTCCGTCGCTCCCCGGCGCAACACAGCCCCGCCGGCCCGGCGCGGCCGGGTTTGCCATGGCTTCCCCCGGGAGGGGCAACGCTGGTCTCTTCATGCCTTACTTGCCGCTTGGCTTTGCCTGCCTACTTACAGTTGCACTGGGACTCTTACTGTGGTTGCGTTGTTTATTCGCTTTAAATTAATTTTATTAGTGAAGCGGGCAGATACGGCAAGAACAAATGATCGTGTAGTGTTTTGTAGGCTTGGGTTGCACGTTGTCAGTGGAAAAAATGAAAAGCAACATAGCTGACCCCTGTGGGTGTTCTGTTTTCCCTAGTACACCTATACCAGCTGGACATCACGGTGAAACAGGGGCGTAACAAGGTGCGGGAGATGTTCATGAAGAATGCCCATGTTACAGATCCACGGGTGATAGACATGCTGGTTATTAAGGTACAAACAAGTTATTCCCGTTTTATTGAAGCTGCAGAGAATGTGAGAGTGGATAGTTGGTGGTGAGTGTGATGGAGGAGAGGGACAGTTTTTATGTCCGTTTGCACTACAGAGGAGTTGTCTCTTGCAATCCAGATTGGTTTATCTCTTGTCAACAAACCTGTTGATAAGGAATCAAACTGCTTTAGCATGCAGAGGAAGAGGGTCTTAACTCACCGAAGTCAAGAGTTGCTGGAATACAGATTTCTGTCACTCGGTGTACTGGCTCTGCCAGTTTGCAGATGTTTAAAAGAGCATGTATGGCAAGCAAAATGGTAGTTTAAATACTATTTGTGTTTTGGTGTTGTTTTAGAAAACAATGGCAATCAAAGAGGAAAAAGATGCTGCTAGCTAGTTTACTATTAAAAATTACCTTTCTACTCTTTACAGTACTTCCTTAGGTTGGGATGTGATTTTCTTCACTGATTCTGAAACATGGTACTTGGTGGGAGGCTGGCTTCGGGTGGCAAAACACCCCAAGTCTGTAACACGTCTGGCTCAAAGCGGTAATCAACTTACCAACAGTAAGGCAAGGTTTCAGAATGGGTCTGAGCAACAGTAACTGACCTCTTTAGTTCTAATGCATTAGAAAGCTTCCAACCAAGGACTGCCGTGCTCACCTGTTGTATTTGTTGCATTTCAAGACAGTTTGTCTGTCTTTACATGATGAAAAAAATCTGGAAACAGAAGCCTAGGTGATCCAGTAGGTGGCAGTTCCAGGCTGTCTCATTCTGCCCTGTGCTGCCATTGTCCAAAACCAGTACAATAATTCCTAGACTGGAGTCATGAAGCAGTCACATTTAATATCTCTGTGGTAGTGATACTGGTGCAAAGCACTTAGCAGCAATTTTACTTAGTTTTACTGGTAACTTGCTGCTATTTTAAAAAAAAAAAAGTAAATAGAGATGCATGAGAGTTAGGGATATTATGTAGAATTTTATGCTAGTCATGAGAGAAACAAGCCAAGTTCTAAGAAGGGGGCAGGGTCCCTTGCCTGTTCCGCAGGGCTGGGAAGCTGTGTTGTAGAGACAACCAACTTGTTAATATAGGACACGAAGCATTAAAATCACAAGACAGGAACAGTATCTATATTTGTGTCACAGTATAGGCGATGCAGGCAGTCTTTAGGAGTACAGAATTGTTGATGCAGCTATCTTAAGGGTGTTTCTAAGTGCATTCAGATAACTTTCATGGTGCTGTATATAGTTAGAATCGGGCTCTGACTGACAACTAGTCTAAAATTCTTTTGTCTGTGTGCAGGGAAAAATGGAGCTTCAAGAAACCATTCAGGTGTGGAAGCAGAGGACTCACGTCATGAGGTATTTCCATGAGACGGAAACCCCACGACCTAAAGACTTTCTGTCCAAATTCTATGAGGGCCATGATCCCTGAGACATTGACTCTATGTCCACCTGCCTTGTATTACAAATAAAACTCTATATAGTAGAAAAAAACCCAGCTGTACAGAAAGATTGTGTAGCGTATTAGGAGCCTAATGACTAAATCTGAATCCAGAGTGCGTGCAAGTCATTATGATCTGTATGAAGAGCTGTGGTTTCCTAGTTTTGCCAGTGTGTGTTTTCAGTGGGAGTGTGTCCCATCACTTGCCCTGGAGTGTCTGTTGAATAACCAGAACACAACCTGGTTGTGGGGTTTGGGCTTTTCTGCTTAGCCTGCAACCCTGCGCATAGGTGTCAGCTCTGCGGAAGAAAGAGCAGAAAAGACTGGGCCTTCAGAAGAGCCAGTGTAGTCACATAAACATTCTTGTGCTTGAGGCCTGTCTGTATTCATGTAGTGTTTTGCAATTTCATGCTATGACTCTGTTGACCTTGTGTTTTTTATTTGGATGCTAGTCTCTGTTTACTTCCTCCCAGAGAAGGGCATAAAATCCAATAGGCTGATAAAGCCCTCTGTGCAATAAAAAGATCAGCAAAGTCTGTTTCCCTGCTGTAAAATGAAATTACCTGGGGTTTTGTACTGTTGTCTAGAATAGGGGGGCTCTATAAGAGCTTCTGATGCTTGGCAGAAGATGGTGTCCTGCCATCATCTCCTTAATTGAACTGGGAATTACTAGCTCCCTTTCTCAAAAGGTAAGGAGAATTTGTTCTTTCACCAGTTAGAACAGGTTTTCAGGAGGTAACTCAGTGCTGGAGCTCCCCCATGTGTGATCAGCATTGAATGTTTGTAGTATGCTCAAACTTCTTTTTATGCTTGCCTAAATACTGGGGCTTGCTTCCCCATACGAAGACTGTAAAGCAGCGCTGCTCAGGGATGTGCACACGTGTGTGTACCTAGGGCCTTCAGGGCTGGAGTGTTTTCAAGGACAGGGTTAACACAATCAGGAAGGGCCAGGCAACATGGTGGGACAAAGCAGTGATACAGCATTTGGCAGTATAGAAAACAGGAGCAGGGACATATTTGACTCCCAAGAGCAGATGAACTGGAGCCACCACTTTTCAGGCAGCCTTGAGGAAGGAAGGGGCAATTCAGATACCGAGTGACTCAAGAACCTGCCAACTGCCTTCAACTACAGCTGTTGGGGTTACTCAGATTGCAGACTCCCTTTTCTCTCAGTAGCTGCACTGGAGAGTTACAGAGCAAACATCAAAAGCTGTGCCAAATAATAAGGGAGCAAATTGGCTGTTGGAACTATACACCATGCTAATGTGTGCAACATTAAAAAAAAAAAAACTTTTTAACAGCTACATGAATACCGAAGGGAAAGGGTGGGCAGTCAAGAGAAGAGGCCAGCTCTAGTGACCAGAAACCATGAGAGATGCACTGGGGCAATGCTGTCTTAAAAACAACAACAACAAAAAAATTGTCAAACCTTTCAAGGTATTTGAGAAAACAGCTGGTCTGATGTGACTGAAGATACTCTATGCATGCCCTAGCAGAAGACCTTTTAAGTCTATTATGCAAGGATTTAATTGCAATAGTAAACACTTCTATGAAAAGAAGAGTTGAAGTTTATACACAGTTAAGAAAATAAATATATTAGGCCTCATACAGAAGGAAGTACTGAACTACCTATTAAATACTAGGTACTTGGAGCCAGAGCATTCAGAGGTTTTTCACTATTCAGAGATTAAATGCTATAAAACACATCAGCAAATTAGTTTGCCACTCGTGATTTTAACCTTTTACCAAAGCTACTCAAAACTTTTAACTCTGCAATGATAATACTGTCTTTAATCCTCAGTGAGGTGAAATTAATTATATAGTCCCCCTCAGATATACCTGCTAGGTTGTAAATCAGCATTATTATGAAGTGCACTGCCAGTGTCAATATGAGCCCCGTTCTTTTAATGGGGGTGTGTTGTGGGGCTGCTGCTTCCTCTAGGATGCCTATCATGATGTACTGTAGATTAGTACTGAATTACAGAAAGGACATAGAGGAAATAAATATGAAGGGAGCCTCTTTACTGGAATGTACAGAGGTAGAAAGGTTAAGACAGTAGTAATGCTAGGACATAGGCATGTAATCTGTAAAAACACAAGACTAAAGTCAGGCATCTCAATCTCTTGATCTTTAATTAAGTGTTTTCCATATTGCTAATAAAAGTAATCCCAAGCAGTCTTTGATGAGGTGATTGTGTGCGTGCAAGGATGCAGGGCCTATCAAGCACTTCCTTCAACCCAGATCTACAGATTTCCATCATACAGACAAGCCCAGGACACTCACTGGCAAAGGGGCTACAGAGCCCCTGTCCCATTTAGGAAGGACAAAACACAGGTGACAGATGTTGGAACCATTGCTTTGTCAATGGTTTTCTCCCTTCTGTTCTTCTGTTACAGTTCTGCAAATGGAACAATAAGCCATTACTCTTCAGATATACTGTACTGAGCTCTCAGTCCATACCCTCCCCCTGAATCACACAAGGTGGTGGTTTACATAAAAGGAGTTTCTAACAGGCCACTGCAGTCTTTACAACTGTTTAATTCTCTGTTTTTAGCTGCACAATGCATGCTGGAAACTCCCTTTATCAAATGGAATACATCCACCAAACTGATTATAAAACAACACTTTTTACAACAACTTCTTTGAAGCAACTTCTTTGTTCTATAAAGAATTACACCCAAACTCCAGTCTTTACACAAGGGCAAGCCAAACAGAGTAACATAAAATGGAGGGAAGTGTAGTGTAGCGTACTGTAGATAAGGGAAGAGCAGAAATAAATCACCTTTATTTGACGAGTCTGAATGGACCAACTACTCCAGAGATCAGTGTTGTAACACCCGCTGGACGGTTTGTTCCAAAGGGTTCTGGAGTTCTCTCAAATTGTTCACCTTTATATCAGAATTTCATTTTCTTTTAAAATACTCATTCTGTGAGTTAGTGGAAGACTTTTAAACACGTAAATGTGTAATAATGCTGAAGTCCCTCTTTTCTGTCTGCCGTATATGCCCTCACTGACAACAGTATATTTTTATTTCTGGTTCAAATTACAAGATCTAAACTGCCATCAGTTTATTACAATCTCTAACAAATGTATGTTGTAGAGATTTCACAGTCAGATACCAGTTTGGCCTACTCCAGTATAAAGGAACTGAAAAGTTTGTAGCCAGGGGCAGTACACCTGCAGGTGTCCATGTGTTTAACTGCAAATTCATCTTTCAGAGCTGTTGCTGTCTGTACTTCTGAGATCCGCCTCCCTGACCCAATCCAAACAGGAAGCATGAATAATTAGATTGCTGTTAATCTTAATGACATACCCTTTAATCATCGTCATCATCATCCTCTGGGACAAAGATATCATGTTCTTCAAGTAGGGCTGCAAAGTTCTTACTGATCTGAGTCCCGACATACAGGAAAGGGATCACAACGCTGAACACTCTGAGGAGGCCGAAGGGTGTCTGCAAGGAGTTGGTTGGAAAAGATTAGTCTTTACCAGCAAGTCGCACTGTGCCTGGGCCTACGCTATCCCGGCTCCACAAGGTCACAGGGAGCACTGGGAAGAACACTTTGCCTTCCCCAGTGCTGGACCCCCTGTCACTGCATCACACAGAATCCCAGAATGGTAGCGGTTGGAAGGGACCCTCGGAGATCATCTGGTCCAACCCCCTGCCAAAGCAGATTCACCTAGAGCAGGTTGGACAGGAATGCATCCAGACGGGTTCTGAATATCTCCAGAGAAGGAGACTCCACAACTTCTCTGGGCAGCCTGTTCCAATGCTCTGTCACCCTCAAAGAAGTTTTTCCTCATGTTGAGACGGAATTTCCTGTGTTCCAACTTGTGCCCATTGCCCCTTGTCCTGTCGCTGGGCACCACTGAAGAGAGTCTGGCCCCATCCTCTTGACACATGCCCTTTTGATGTGTATAAGCATTGATGAGATCTCCTCTCAATCTTCACTTCTCCAGGCTAAACAGACCCAGGTCTCTCAGCCTTTGCTCATAAGAGACATGCTCCAGTCCCCTGATCATCTTCATAGCCCTCTGCTGGACTCCCTCCAGCAGTTCCTTGTCTTTCTTGACTGGGGAGCCCAGAACTGGACACAGTACTCCAGATGCGGCCTCACCAGGGCAAAGTAGAAGGGGAAGATGACCTCCCTCAACCTGCTGGCCATACTCTTCTAAATGCACCCCAGGATATCATTGGCCGTCTTGGCCACCAGGGCACATTGCTGCATCATGGTCAACTTGTCCACCAGGACTCCCAGGTCCCTTTCTGCAGAGCTGCTTTCCAGCAGGTCAACCCCTCATCTGTATTGGTGCGTGAGGTTATTCCTCCCCAGGTGCAGGGCCCTACACTTGCCCTTGTTGAATAGCATTAGGTTGCTCTCTGCCCAACTCTCCAGCCTGCCCAGGTCTCACTGAATGGCAGCACGGCCTTCTGGTGTGCCAGCCACCCCTCCCAGTTTTGTGTCATCAGCAAACTTGCTGAGGGTACACTCTGTCCCCTCATCCAGGTCATTGATGAGTATGTTGAATAGCACTGGACCCAGTGCTGACCCCTGGGAAACACCACTAGTTACAGGCCTCCAACCAGACTCTGCACCATTGATCGCAACCCTCTGAGCTCAGCCAGTTCTCAATCCACCTCACTGTCCGCTCATCTAACCCACGCTTCCTAATCTTACCTATGAGGATGTTATGGGAGACAGTGTCAAAAGCCTTGCTGAGGTCGAGGCAGACAACATGCACTGCTCTCCCCACACCAACCCAGCCAGTCATGCCACCGTAGACGGCAGCTTGTACAAACCCCAGCACCGGGAGAGGAGGAACCCGCGGGGAGCTCGGGGCAGGGAACACTAGTGGCTTAGGAAGGGAGAGCGGTTGCCAGTGAGAAACGGCTGTGTACAGAGGGCTGTTTATCTCCCCATGGCGCGGGGACCTCCGTCGGGGCAGCGCCGCCCCGCTCGGGGGGAAACGGGCTGCCCGGGTCCGCCCCGACCCCTCAGGGCCGCTCCCGTCACCCTCCCGCAGGCGAGCGCTTCCGCATCCCCACCCCGCCC